ACGTATTGCTGGCAATAATGTATGGCTGGTAATAATTTTTCCTTCAAAAAATTATTGCTGGTATTATTAAAACCTATCTTTACACTTTCATAATGTTTTAACCCCAGTTTGGATGTTAGCTATTTGCCTATAGCTGGGACCCAAACAGGTGCTATCACCTCGGGTCAGGGTTGACCTGGGAACACCAGCAATTAAGAGGTGGTTCAAAACCTTCTGATCAGAGGCCTTGCTGTCGGATGTAGCTTATCGTCTTACCCAGGACGGTTCTTTCTTTTCATTCATCCATTTATTAATGCTTACATTCCCATATTCATAAATGATTTCGTCGCTCTTTTTCATTCGTTCATTCATTCATTATTTTAGTCTTTTTTCTCTATTTATTACTTTACTTCTTTCTTTTCTTTATCTATTCCATTTTCCCCTTGAATTAATTTATGTCTGCTTTTGTCGACTTGATTGAATCTCTTAACAGGAACGCAGTCATAAACGGGGCTTTTTTTTGTAACAGACGCAGGCAAAAGTAATGCTAATGGATTTTCCTATAGAGACAATGAACAAGGCTTCGTAGAAAAATTCTTCCAAGCTATGAGACTATCCGCTTTTCATAAATCTTCGCCTTATTTACACCTGTGTTTTACCTATTGACGTAAAGGAGAATCAAATTTATGATACATCAATAATTTCTTTGTACAGCAACTATCTGGTATAATATCTTCTGTCCCTGTTGCAGTTTTCTCTCCATCTTAGCCATTGTTACACTCGTTTCAGATTTTAATATCACGAGCCTTTCCATTATTATTGGCTTCCCTCTGTTGCCATGGAACGGATCTATGTCGCAGGACATTTTCATTATAAAGAAAGATCGTTCCCTCTTCGGTTTTTATACATGTGGAATAAGCACAAAAATGGAATGGGTTAATTTTGTTCCACGAATTTTTAATGGGAAAGATATGTCTGCATGCTTCCTTTTAAAGTCAGTATTCCAATTTTTTTTATCTTTATCGGCATCCTGCGCTTAACCGAAATCACCAATGGAAACTTTCTGGTTAAGAAATAGGTTTTTTGCTTTTATTATATTTAAAATGTATCTTCAATGACAGATGCGTTAATAACGCGTCCCTCCTGTAATGTAGGTGAACATGATTCTCCACAACTTCTCTTAATAGCTAGGATATGTTTTGGGAAATATAGTGGTTTAAGTCTTCCGTTGCATTCTAAATGGTATATATTCAGAGTTGTCATTTTTCAATCTAGAGAGACCAAGTTCATCACCATCATCATCATCATCATCATCACCACCACCATCGTCATCATCACCACCACCATCATCATCATCATCATAATCATCACCACCATCGTCATCATCATTATCATCATTATCATCATCATCATCGTCACCACCATCGTCATCATCACTATCATCATCATCATCATCATCACCACCATCGTCATCATCACTATCATCATCATCACCACCATCGTCATCATCGCTATCATCATCACCATCATCATCACCATTATCATCATCATCATCGCCACCATCGTCATCATCATCACCATCATCACCATCATCACTATCATCATCACCATCATAATCATCATCATTCCCACCATCGTCATCATCACTATCATCATCATCATCATCATCATCATCACCACCACCACCATCGTCATCATCACTATCATCATCGTCATCATCAGTATCATCATCATCAAAACCATCATCATAACTATCATAATCATCATCGCCATCATCATCATCACCACCATCACCACCATCGTCATCATCATCATCATGTGCTGTGTCCCTTCAGTACGAAGGAGATAATTGCTCTCTACATCTTCCTATCTCTTGTAGCTCTTGTTTGCCAAATCTTTCCAGCTATGTTACTTGCTGTTTCTCACAGTCCCTTTCACCTTAAATATGTCCTGTGACTATCAAAATCCCCAAACCCTCTTTCGTTCACATATAACCTAGAATATAACTGTTGCTTGCATGTCTCGTCTATGTTATTCTCAGCACCCTCTGTAGAACCACATATCTGTGTCCGCGAGACTTCTTTCTTCATCTGTGAGGAGATTTTCCAGCATCCACTGTTCTATACAATAATTTATATTACATAACAGTTCAGCACTTTATCTTACTAATCTAATGTTCTTGTTTCTTAATACTTTGCTTAGGTTTGGAACGAAAGATTTTGCTATTAAAAATGCTCCTTCGCATTTCGGTGTCACACATACTCCATCCTCTGTTAAAACTCTTGCCATATATTTAATTGTTCATACTTGCTTGATCTTGGCCTATCCAGTTCGTAGTTCGCATCTTGGGTGGTTCATCTTGTTGACATCCATGCATTCTGTCTTCTTACAATTGGTGTATAGTCCTTTTTCTCACTTTCCTCTACGGTCATATCTAGGTGTTCCTGTTGTTTCATTTCTAACCATGAATAATACATCCTTGTGGGACGCCTAGTTCTGCCAGGATCGCCTCGGTGTAAAGATTGAATAAGTCCGGCGAGAAGACACATCCTTGTCTTACAACCCGTTCTAATTTTGTGTATTTACTGAATTAATTTTCTATCCGTATGCAGGCGGTTTGCTCGCACTGAAATTTCTAGATTATTTAAAATAAATAAAATATTTACTGATGAAAAGTCTCTCTCACAGGTTGATGTTATGTAATTACTTGGCGTATGTAGAATTTACACAATCTCCTGGTTGATTGATTCGTTTTTACGGCTTATCACCCCTTTGTAGGCTATTTAAAGCCAGACAATATTTGTAGATTGTTAGAATTTTGGGGGAAATAATAATGGTTTAGATATACTAATTAACCCATGGTGAGGGAAGAAAGGATGGATTCTGTTATGGGATCTTACCCATAATAATAATAATAATGGACTATACTTAATAAATACTGTGCCTCAGGAGTAGGCAAAGGGCCAGTCGCTCACTTTCTGAGCGACTGTTCGGTTAAACTCTCTTCCTACGGGCGGGAGGAACCCGAAGGTGGCTACGCCGAAGGGCGGAGTCTCCTTCGGGGGGGTTAAACCGGCCCTGAACCCGTTTATACGGGTTCAAATGGGCTATTTTTTGGCCGAGCCTAATGGCTCGGGAATGCCCACGTTAAAAAGGCCTTGTGCCACATGACACCCTCGTGGGGGGGGACTGAATATCGTCAGCCGTTCACTTCTGAACCGACTGTTCGGTTGAACACTCTGCTTTCGGGCGGGGAGGAACCCGAACGAGGCTACGCCGAGGAGCGGAGTCTCGTTTGGGGAGGTAAACGGGCCCTGAGCCCGTTTATACGGGTTCAATGGGCATAAGCATAACAATAAATAACCGACCTTGTTTCACATGATGCCCCAGTGGGGGTGGTGATTGAATATCGTCAGTCGTTCAAGTCTTGACCGGCTGTTCGGTTGAACTCTCTGCCTTCGGATGGGGCGGAACCCGAATGAGGCTACGCCCAAGGGCGGATTCTCTTTCGGGGAGGTAAACCGGCTCTGAACCCGTTTATACGTGTTCAATGGGTATATATTTGGGCCGAGCCCACCGGCTCGGAGAACCAACGTTAAAAACGGCCTTGCGACATATGACGCCCCAGTGGGGGCGGGGGTGACTGAATATCGTCAGTCGTTCACTTCTGAACCGACTGTTCGGTTGAACTCTCTGCCTTCGGCGGGGAGGAACCCGAACGAGGCTACGCCGAGCCCTGAGCCCGTTTATACGGGTTCAGTGGGCATATTTTTCGGGCCGAGCCACAATAAATAACCGACCTTGCGTCACTTGATGCCCTAGTTAGGGGTTGGGGGGTGGCTGACTGAATATCGTCAGTCGTTCAATTCTTGACCGGCTGTTCGGTTGAACTCTCTGCTATCGGGCGTGGCGGAAGCCGAAGGAGGCTACGCCGAAGGACGGATACTCTTTCGGGGAGGTAAACCGGCCCTGAACCCGTTTATACGGGTTCAATGGGCATATATTTGGGCCGAGCCCACGGGCTCGGAGATCCCAGACTAAATAACCGGACTTGTGCTACATGATGCCCCAGTGGGTGGTGGTGACTGAATACCGTCAGTAGTTCAACTCTTGACCGGCTGTTCGGTTGAAATCTTTGCCTTCGGGCAGGGAGGAATCCGAAGGAGGCTACGCTGAAGAGCGGAGTCTCTTTCGCGTAGGTAAACCGACCCTGAACCCGTTTATACAGGTTCAATGGGCATATTTTTAGCCGAGTCCACGGGCTCGGAGATCCCACGTTAAACTGGCCTTGTGCCACATGATGCCGACGTACAGTCAGTAGTTCAAGTGGAGTCAGTAGTTCAAGTCGAGTCAAGAGTCGAGTCAAAGGCAGTCCGAAACAGAGTCGCGTTCAGACAATTACTGCAAGACATTGGAATAGTGATACTGGTCGAGACTACATTGTTCTCTCTACTAAACCTGATTGTTCATACTAACACTTCTACCTCTCTGTATATATTCCTGTTTGTAATATATCTGTTTTATTCCATACCTGTGTTCGAGTTCTTTTTTATTGGTTCTACCTTGGACTATCACCGTGGTACAAGGAACCGGACCATAACAGATTCATATCTCTCCCAAGAGAATTTTCGCGTCAGTAAATATAACGCACTCAACAGAAATTGGAACCCTACTGTCCGATTAACAATTGCGAGCCATTATCCATTCTTTTTTTTATGTGCCGTTTCCTTTCAGGACGTAGGCTATCATGGCTCTCCACTTCTCCCTATCCCTTGTAGCTCTCAGTAAGTTTTGTCCCTTTGCTACTTCTCCAAGACCATGTTCCGTCATCCACTTGCTTAAGCCCGCTAGGTATCTCATGCGTTGTTTTCCTTTGTCTCTCTTTCCCTCTATTCAACCTATGAGTATCAGACTCTCCAAGCCCTCCTTTCCCATTATGTATCTAATTTCAGCCGCCTCTTCCTGATGTTAAGTATAAGCTTTCTCCTTGTTTGCATCCTTATTAAATTATCCATATACAAGCTGGTATTCCCAAGCAGTTACCCATTTAGTTAATTACCAAGTTCAACGTTGCTTAACTTCGGTGATCTTACGGGAACCGGTGTTTCGATGTGATGTGGTCGTAAGCCTTTATATAATCTCTAATCTTTTTGTCATAGACGCTAAGGTCGTCATTTTGGTGTTGAATTATCAGACAGTTATTGCCTCCATGTTTCTTTTAATAGCAGGATATGCTGTTCTCAGCTTTGTGTCATCATAGAACGGAATAAAATGTCGGTACCATTTATTTCATTACTTTAGTATGATTCCTGAAAATACAGTAGACGGAAATAGATTTCCGCATAGAATTTCTTAAAGAGCAAATAATTTGAATGTCCAGAATAACATTATTTTTTATCTTTTATATCACATGTTCTTTCAGGTCGTGGCTCTCTCCACACCCTTATCTTTCGTCTTTACTATCACTCCGCAAGACTTTGTTGGGAAATTCATTCCCAAAAAACTTGCTATTTCCTCCTGCATCTTTTAGGTTCAATCAACCCTGTGAGTCTTCCATTTTACGATCAGTTACGAATCCGAAATATCCAATTTCGTCACAGCAGTTTCTTTCTAGTTCCAAGACTCTTTAAAACTTTCTTGTCACTCGCATCATCTGTTCATAGTATTCACAAATTTCGACCACGTACATAAATAAGTATTAAGATAATGAAATGACCAGAGGAGAACTTATATTTATTCATCAAAGCCAAATGTAGAAAATTGTTTTAAAGAAAAATTATTTGTAATAATTAGTTATCGCTGAGATAAAAAATACATTATTATTTCTAATTTGACTTTGGGAATATACAAAAGTATTCAAAGTATAGTGTTGTAATTTTCACTTGTTAAACGAAATTGAATCAAAATTTTTTATTGATTTTATTAATATTACTGGTATTAATATTTTTAAATGGAGTAAGTTAACAATTTTTTAAATTTTTTTTATCATCTTACTTATTATAAAACGCAGAAACAATATATATATATATATATATATATATATATATATATATATATATATATATATATATATATATAATATTAGTGGTAAATATACATACATATGCAAAATATATAAATACACATACATGTATATTTTTTGAATAAAAATTCCGAGAGGAAGAATCCATGTCCAGGACAGAGTAAGGATATAATAAAAAGGCTTAAACATATATATATATATATATATATATATATATATATATATATATATATATATATATATATATATATATATATATATATATATATCGCTGTCTCATCGGTGTGGATATAAGTTGGGTTGCCTCTAACTAGAATCGAAATACGGCTGAACTGACATCAATCCGAGAATCTACCGTTAAGCCGTTGGCTTGGGAAGTTAAATTTAAGCCTTTTTATTTTTAGATAAACATGCCAGTGACTGAGAGAAGTGACGTTTTTATGAAGAGAACTCAATAATAGTCATTCGTTTTTATCGTTGGATAGAGTTTGTGACCCTGGGTTTCACGCTTTAGCGATCGTCAGTTGACGATCGCTAAAGCAACCCAGGGTCACAAACTCACATCTATCAACCAAATATGTTACTCTATCTCTGATATTGAGCGCTTTCTAATAAGTACATATAATATATAAATAATTATACATATATATATTTATTTATATTTATATTCACTTTTATATATATATATATATATATATCAGAAGGTCAGTTGAATCCTTTATTTTTTATTTTATTTTTCAGGCGTGTATTGAGTAAAAGGAGTGTCAGAGAAAAGCGATAATAACAACAAAAAATGCAATATGAGCTCTGGTAAAAAACACGCAATGATAACAGCAAAAATTGCAATATGAGCACTGGTAAAAAATTGTTGCTGAAGACGTTAGGCACGTGTAACTAAAACTGTCTACCCCAGTGAGCGAAATAAATGGTTCAGTTCGACATTCCAACCACCTGAGGAAGATCGGAGCGTGCAACGGCCGAAACGTTGTAATAAATATGGCGAGAACGATGAGGACAATAGACCGAATAATGTAAATAATATACATAGTATCTCATCTCGGAAATATAGACAGATAGTGTATTATGTACTTTTAATACTACAGTATATATATATATATATATATATATATATATATATATATATATATATATATATATATATATATTGTGTGTGTGTGTCTGCATTTACCCACCTTGGCACAAAGGTGTCCACATGCGTACATTCAATCCAAGGAAGAAAAAAAACTTCAGTTCAAAAATAGAAGTAGGGCACCGAGGTAAAGAACAGATAGTAGACACTAATCGGACTTTCCCCAAAACCACGCAGTGCCTATACGCGTACATATGCCAAGGGCCAAAATTGTCCTTTTCTTCGATCACTATTATACATGTGTTTTTAGCCAACAACGTTCAGTGAGGGTGTTACTGCCGTAGGGTTGGAATAAGCTGAACCAGATAGTCCTCATAATTTTAAAAGGAAAAGAGAAGGAATACGAAATATTAATCCCCGGTCTGAAGTCCTGATTGATTTACTCGCCGCTCCACGGTTGCAAGATGTGAACCAGGATCATTTTTCACATAGGGTTGCGATCTGCCAAAAGTATTGCCTGGTCCACGCTATCAATGTAACACTGGCGTCGATATTCCAAAGACTTTCCCTATTTTAGTCCAATAAGGATGGTGCTGTCGTAGAGTTAGAATCCCAGTGACCAGATATCAATCAGAGTTTTTCTTGAACTACGCAAAGACAGAAACATGGTCGAGTTGAATAATTGACACAACACACGCTTCCTAGACGAAAAGCAGACAACGAAATTGAGATTTTACGAAGAGCACATATATAATCTGATACTAGGCTTAAGTATCGATTCATATGTAAATGAAAATCCAGGGAAAAATACGAAACTAAATCAGAAGCAAAACAAGCCAAAAGAATATTTATCTCTACCATCAGAATTTCTGTCTTAACATATGCATTTAATCTTGAGCAGGCTGGCTGTCGATTTCTTTACGTTCGTTACACGATATATCGAAAATTTTGTAAAGTATAGACCACGGAAGAATTGGTTAACTTTTAGGGACCGATAAAAGTATTTACTTTCGATTCAGAGAGATTTTTATATTACACTCTGGAAAATTGGAAATTTACAAAGTTATGTCCGCTTTTTCTGTATATCTCTATGAACTGCTTTTCCCTGTTTTAAGATTTGATGTTTAGCATTTTCTTCTGGTGTACATCCTGACATTATTAGTTCTTTCTGTGAAGATGGACAGAATTTATTTTCACCCATGTCTGCTTATTTTTGATGATAGGTCTCTGATTATATTATTTCCCACGGCATATCTTGGTAAACGTAACTTAATTACTTGGATTTTATTTAGAATGGCGGTTGTATGCGCTCGGTGAATGCTTTCTTGTTGTTTTTATTTTTTAAATTTCATACTTTCTAACTAGCTAGCGAGGAGACACTATCGAAATTCCTTTATCAAGATAAATGTGTAAATATAACAAAATATGGCGGTCCAAATTGGTTTGACTTGGGATTTTTTTGCGATGTGGGGGGGGGCAATGAGAAAACCTAGAAATCAGAAAACCTATAAAACCAGCATAATATTACTTTTTTTTTTATATAGAACCAAAGAAAAAAAAAAGGTAAAGGAGCTGAGGGAAAGGAAAAATAATTGTATTTGTTTTATGATTATTGATGTTTTACTTGATTTCCTCAAAGGAAATGCACTTATAAACCCTTTGATCATAACGTTATTTGCAACAAACATTTTTTTCTTTACAAATTACCAGTTGATTACCTACAATCATCAATAAAAACATTCTTTCTGCAAATATAATATGCTGAAACATCTGTCTCCATCGTCAGGTGGGTCACTACTGAATAATTTATTAGCATCGAGAAGAGAAATAGACTTAGGCAAATCAAATACATACGTAATTCCATGGAGACTAACATGAGGAAATGACTTTGATGAGACTTTGTCCACTGGGACGAAGGTTATCATTCTGTCAGTTACATAGCGATAGATATAAGCATGAAAGACGAAGAGGAATTGCTTGTGCAATGGCGTCTGGATATATATTACATTTGAGGCTTTTAGAATAGCTGATTATTGTGAGTTCAATCGCACTCAGCCAAAAAGAAACTTGGAGAACTCAGTTCAAATAGTGAAACAGAGATGGATTAGGGTCATTGAAAAATAGAAGGAGAATTGGACGTGAGCTGGAAAATTTGGGCACACCTATTTCTTTGCCGGAGAGAAATGCATTTTAAGCTAATGCCTGTTTCCTGATTCCTGAGATCGTCAGTATGCTAGGGAGGTTAGACATTACTTGCTGCAGATGCCTGGTTCAGGAATGTTTTTCTTTAACACTCACAGAACCAATTGTATTTCATATTGCAAATATTCTGACAAGGCGTTATATACTGTTTCTAGGAGAGAGCGTATAATCTGGCGTGATCAACAGTTTGTCAAATGACAGCGTGTTCTAAACTTGTCTTGTGCCTTCGGCATATCACAGACACCGAACAGTTTTGTGTACCCAATTTCACACACACACACACACACACATGTTTTTAATCAATTCGCCACAAGTAAGGCGATAATGCCACTTAGACGCAAGAGTTTGTTGTGAGTGAAAGAGAATGATAACTCTTTATTGAGGAAAAAAGAACAATAAAATAAGACAGAAAATAGCGATTGACGTTACATTGATTTTTTTTAAATATCATAGGTGACAATGAAGCAAAAAGCCGAAGAGAATTCCACAGGCGAGAAGTGTGAGTAAAGAAAATATTAGAATAGAACTTACAGGTACATCTAGTTGTTTCAACAGTACGCGTAAATTCATAACGTTGAGATACCAAGGAGGAAAGCTCGTTAGAAAAATTGCCATTAAACTATTTATGGAAAAGACACGCAAATCATATCTTGCCTTTAAAAAAGTAACTAAGGAAGAGATGTCATGTGAGGAACGATGATATTACAGTGTGGAATCTTCCATATTAACCTTCCACCCCTTTCGGAAAAATGTTTCCTTCTATAAAACAAAGCCTTAACCAATCACCATTTCGTTTCAGTAAAATTCAATCTTCTATTGGTTAAAACTGTAGCAAAGTCACAACAGAACCTTTTCCCGCCTAAGGTCCCTGGAACCGAATTTTAAACACCCGACTCTATATAATCAAACACATTATTCAATTGAAGTCAGTCAGTCATCAAATTTCAAGAGATCCATACAAACTCCACGCTGTTCAATTTACTGACTCGCAACCACTTAAAGTTTCTCAACAAACTCAAAGCAGCATTTTAATAACCATTGTCCGCGTGGGTATTCATCACCCACAATTGACTTAAAGAGTGAATATTTTCACTATTGTAGCGAGCACCAGATCTAATAGCACGGTTCATTGGACAGACGAAAGGTAGATATATAACCGTTCAAGATGGATTCTGGCGGGAACGAATGTCTTGAACGACACAGTGCACCAACTTTTCTAGCTGCAGACTTATGCTTAACTTAGAGGATAGAGCCTATATCTATCTATCTATCTATCTATCTATCTATCTATCTATCTATCTATCTATCTATCTATCTATATATATATATATATATGAAGAAATATGGTTTTAAGGTGTGCTATATTTATGAGATAAAGTGTTCAATATCAGAGATACAGAGTATGTAAATATAGAAGTTGCACATTAAAGTCAACATTGAGAGACGACAGGCTGTTTTCGTGCTAGACGCAATCGTCAGCCGACCTGACGATTGCGTTTAGTATGAAACAGCCTGTGGCCTCTGAATGTTGACTTCAAATTCACTTTTATACATATATATATATATATATATATATATATATATATATATATATATATATATATATATATATATATATATATATATATATATATATATATATATATATATATATATATATATAACCAAATGATAGAGAACAAATGGAGTACATTTGTCGCTGCCATATTTCCCGCAATCGTCAATGATGCGATGTCTATGTTCCGTTTTATCGTGACATGAAAAAATAATTCACCCACCTTCTCCCTCTGACCTTTTTTCTATTCGGCTTAGATCTGCCATTTAACTGGAAATCGAGTCATATCCACAAGTCTATTTTTAATTCAGATTTTATGCCCTCACCTTTAAGTTTCGGAAAAAGATGTAAGATTTGTTTATAAATTTCCCTAAAAAATCATTTTATAACCAGTTAACTAGCAAAGCCTGCGGAATTACAGTCATAATATTGAAACATGAAAGCTTTTGTGTAGCGATTTCAGAATGTTTTATTATAAGCGCTTATAATAAAAATATAATAATAATAATAATAATAATAATATTATATATATATATATATATATATATATATATATATATATATATATATATATATATATAATGAGGGGTGTAACTGAAAAGTAAGCAGCGCAAGAAAGAAATGTCTAAAATAAATCTTCTATCAATCATAGCAGTCAATTGACCAGTAATGCTCTTTATATAGTCGAATTGTTGGGGCATATCGAAAGTCGACAGACATGATAGAATTTCTCCTCAAGAAACAAATGGATTACGTCTTCTGCGATTAATATGTCGTTAGTGGCCGGAATATCTTGCGAGTGTAATGCCTAAAATTTCTTTACCACAGGAAAAAATAATCTGGAAGAAAAATGCTTCGAACAACGGAAGTTAACATTTTTTTTATTTGTTTGCCGGAAGTTTATGACCTATAGAAAATATCATGAATTTACTTCACACTATCTTAACCAGGAAATCTCTTCTTTCAAAACACAGATCTATACTACTGTACTAAGTGTTGTATGTAAAAGATAAATGTCAATCATTGTATTCGTATGTGTGTGTGTGACTGACCGCTAGAACGTTGATTTCCAAATGCGTGTGTTCAAACGTTTTTCTCAATATCTTTGGCACCTTATATATCTTTTAATGATTTCATTCCAAGCAAATCAATAAAGACACTAACACACAGGATATTAGAAAATGATTCTATCTATCTATCTATCTATCTATCTATCTATCTATCTATCTATCTATCTATCACAGCCTGTTCCATTCTACCCATCATAGTCTGTTCATATCTATCTATCTATCTATCTATCTATCTATCTATCTATCTATCTATCTATCTATCTATCTATCAGAGCCTGTTTCATTCTACCCATCATAGTCTGTTCATATCTATCTATCTATCTATCTATCTATCTATCTATCTATCTATCTATCAGAGCCTGTTCCATTCTACCCATCATAGTCAGTTCATATCTATCTATCTATCTATCTATCTAACTATCTATCTATCTATCTATCTATCAGAGCCTGTTCCATTCTACCCATCATAGTCTGTTCATATCTATCTATCTATCTATCTATCTATCTATCTATCTATCTATCTATCTATCAGAGCCTGTTCCATTCTACCCATCATAGTCAGTTCATATCTATCTATCTATCTATCTATCTATCTATCTATCTATCTATCTATCTATCTATCTATCAGAGCCTGTTCCATTCTACCCATCATAGTCAGTTCATATCTATCTATCTATCTATCTATCTATCTATCTATCTATCTATCTATCTATCTATCAGAGCCTGTTCCATTCTACCCATCATAGTCTGTTCATATCTATCTATCTATCTATCTATCTATCTATCTATCTATCTATCTATCTATCTATCTATCAGAGCCATATCTCTACCCATCATAGTCTGTTCATATCTATCTATCTATCTATCTATCTATCTATCTATCTATCTATCTATCTATTGCTTTTTATGTTCTGTTTATTTTTCTTTTTACTTCGTTGTGTTTTTTTTTTCTTTTATCTATTTATCCCACAAAATGAGGTCTTCGTATGTTGTGCATGCGTGACTGGAAAATTTAGATTTACTGCCTGTGTTTTCTATTTTAGCTATGATGGCTTATGAACAGTGTGAGGCTAAGTACTATTACCTGCTGGCTCTTTAGGTTTATATTAGGTTCGCTATACTTAGTGTATTGACCACTTTACGTAGTTATTTTTACTCGTTTTGGTGTTTTTTTTTTCTTTGGACTCTGGGCTTGAATTTTGGATGATTGTTTTTGCCTCAAATTCATGTTCTTAGTTCTTTCTTTTTTTTTATCCCTCATTTTTCCTTGGTCATTGGTTTGTTCAATTACAAGTCGAAATACCTAAGGTTTTTCAAAACGAGTACCACTACATATATATATATATATATATATATATATATATATATATATATGTATGTATATATAAGTTATGAAAAACTATCAAACATTAAAATCTCTTTTTTACATAAATTGCTAAAACTTACCAACCATATCCTCTATATGTAAAACCCATTCACAGCCTCTTTCTCTCTACTTCCCTCTCCCTCTTCTTTCTTTTTCCTTCTTTCTTTTTCCTTCTTTCTTTTTCCTTCTTCCTTTTTCTTTTCTCTCTTATCCCCTCCCATTTCAATATGTCATTTCCGTTAAGTTAACCGTTTAAATAGGTCATGGTCTGGTCGCTCCTCCTCCCCCAATACTAAGTATGATTGAGAGAGATATTAAATTAAACTCTCCCTAAACTCTACCATGTCTCTCTAACTACTCCTATTACATTCTCTGTTAAATTACAAAAACTTACACTACCCATCAATTTTCATTTCATTCTTCGTCTCATTTTTTGAAGTGCTATCTGATGATCTGGAGTCCTTTAAAAGGGCTCTGGTGAAATAAATTATTATAATGGAACCTTAAAGTGGTATGCTTTTTTTTATATATATATATATATATATATATATATATATATATATATATATATATATATATATATATATATATATATATATAGCTAGCTAGCTAGCTAGATAGATAAATAGATAGATAGATAGATAGATATAATAGGATGGTGAGAAAGCAATAAGTTTTCTCTAAGAGGAACTGGAAAGAAAAAAGCATCGAAGTAAAGTGATTAAGTTATGAAGAATATGACGGAAGACGTTAAGCGAAGAATCTGCTTCAAAAGCCGTATATCACATGATCAGTTAATCTCTCGGAGTTCAGTGTGATTGTCAACCAGCTTGGGATTTGCATACGGATCAATATTCCATCAAATTCAAGTTTTTCCGTTTATGGCTGGCGCCATTTCCCGCTGGTTCTTTCAGTGGTAAATGTTCTAAACTTGAAATGGAAACAGTGGGGATGGTATTTGATAGTTGATGATGAAAGTAAGGAAACAGTAAAGGAAATTGTAACAACCATATGCAGGAGTGTAAAAATAAGTCGTCTGGGAAAATGGAACTTTATAGAAAGTTTTCTACCATTCTCATATATAATTAAGTCTTGAGAAAATCAAAATCATTTGATTAATATTCGTTGAAGCAACATTTCTTCATTAAACACCGTGGGCATGGATTTTTTTCATACTTCATCCCGTTTACTAACTTGTAATTTCTTCAGTAAACTTAGGATTAATGGTCATGTTGATGAACATGGAGAGGGGAGTTGAGGCTATGGATACATTTATAAAGCAATTGTTAAGTTTGATGGAAAATTGTTTGAAAGATCAACGAAAAATAATAAACAAACCAGTAAAAATCGCCATTTTTCTCTATTTACGCGGGTTTTCACTATATGGATGAACTCAATTATCAAGTTAAATGACAGTTAAACAATCAACTTATTGTTGGCTACAGTTGAGTGAAGTTTGTTCCAGATTGTTTGAAAATTCAGGGTGTTTTAGTTTAAAATTTGTATTGAAATCGATTTTCGTTTTTCGCTAAACGCAGTGGCATAGAAATAAAAATGAGACATCGTTGCGCTCGTTATCATGTAAGTAACCTACATACCGAATTTGAACGAAATCGGAGCAAAAAAGTTGAATTTATCGATATTTGATCGGCTTTATCGATTATTGATTTTTTAATTATCGATTTTTTATCCTAAGAACAATGTATTTGCTAAGTTTGGTCAAAATCGAATGGATCTCGAGTGAAAAGATATCATACGAATAGACAGACACACAGAAATCCTCTGTTTTTATATATAAATTAAACATTGCAGGTATGGATATTTTTTTTACTACTTCATCCCGTCTACTAACTTGCTATTGATTCAGCAAACTTAGGATTAATGCTCTTGTCGATGCACATTGACTGGGAAGGGGAAGCTATGGATTGCAAGTAGCGGTGAAACAACCTCTGCAATGATACAGTCTGCATCAAAATGCAGAGTAAGATTTACATTCGGGAAAATAAAAAGAGATAGATAAGCCTGGTCAACCTGGGATAATTGCTTGTCCTCGTTGACCCAAGAATTGAACAATTCCAGGTAATAATCGGTCTTACAATTCGCAATTAGCGCTCATTGACCACATAAACTGAGAAGATAGGTAATCTTTCTTATATTCATATGAAAGTTGGTGTCGATCACGACTTGTGTTAGAAAACAGTATTTCCCACGAGTGTCACTAGCTGCGTAAAATCCAGGATATCGAATTCTAATTGAAAGTTTAGCGCCACAGAACCTCCTGCCCATAACGGGATTGGGGCATGCTAATCCAAGCTCATTGAACAGGTTTATAAGCTTAGTTTGATACAACAAAATGGCGATGTCTGTGCAAATAAGGATCTGACATTAAACTTCAAATAGGGAGGATGGTTTTTCCCCAATCATGTAAAACTACCTTCCATACAATTGGTCATATTTTTATGTAATAAGCTGAGATTATTAGATACTATACAGGTTAGTCTAAAGTGGCCAGGAAGATATGCCTTGCAAATCCAGAATATATATATATATATATATATATATATATATATAGAGAGAGAGAGAAAAAGTTTCAAATTAAAAATTATAATGTTTTATTTTATGAAAGTATTTATTTATATATATATATATATATATATATATATATATATATATATATAAATATAAATATATATATATATAAATAAAATAAAACATTATAATTTTAATTTGAAATTTTTATATATACATATTAAGAAAGTATAATGGCTTCTCATTATACTATATATATATATATATATATATATATATATATATATATATATATATATATATATATATATATATATATATATATATATATATATATATATATATATATATATATATATATATATATATATATATATACAAGTGAACATTGAAGAGAGGCGACAGGCTCTTTCATGCTAAACGCAATCATCGTGGCTTGACGATTGCGTCTAGCATGAAACAGACTGTCGCCTCTAAGTGTTGACTTCTATGTTCACTTTTATATTTACACACGTTCTATCTCTAATATTGAGCACTTTATCCCATAAATATAGCACACCTTAAAAATGTATTTCTTCACACACACACACACACACACACACACAACACACACACACACACACACACACACATATATATATATATATATATATATATGTCGTCACACATTATGAAAATGGACAAAGTCTGCCAATTATTTTAAGATATTTTTATGTATAAAAAATGTATGAGCATAAAAATATATATGATATATATATATATATATATATATATATATATATATATATAATGTGTGTGTGTGTGTGTAATTCCATGTACAATATTCATATATGTATATGCTGTTATATTGCTTGTCGCACATTTTTACATATAGGTCTGTAGATATATTTAATTTTTTGTGATTATCTTGCTGATGTCTACATCATGTATATTTTTTATCAATTTTTTATATTCTGAATTTGTTTATTGTAATTATTTAAATATATTCATTTATTTTATTGATTAATTTACTTATTTAATTTGTTCGATTATATTCTTATATTATTTTATTTATGTTGGATATTATTATTATTATTATTAGTTTAAAATGATGATGATTGTATTATGTGATAATGATTGCTGTGTAATTTGACACAACATAATTAGACACATTGCTGTAAGTTTTCAAACTTTCTCTCCTCCCTTTTTCTTCCTTTCCTCCCCTAGTATATTAATTTGATCAGCCCTATTAAGGAAATTTTTCTTGGTCAATCAGTTTATTTTTGCAATTTGCTCCTCATTTATTTAGTCATTCTTTCCTTTCTTTTATTTTTCTCTCTCTTTCTCACACTCCCCTCTCACTCTCTTCTTCTTCTCTTAATTTTTAAGTTCATCAGGGCCTTTGGGTAAGTGTCTTGGATAGTTGAATAAAGACTACCTTTACTTATACTTGGGTTCCGTTGCATAAAACCTTAATTCGGCTAAAGGCTAAGGTTTATCATTGTTCACAGATTTGAGCGACTTCACATGTGGAAATAATTGAAAATATGTGTTACGATTCAAGTAATCTTAGGGTTATTTTTTTACAGTATCAATTGGCTCTTTACGAGAAACAATGTCCACGTTGTGAATTATTACAACCTTCTCTAAATATATTAAACCTAGCGAATTATTACAACCTTCTCTAAATATATTAAACCTAGTGAAGAGAAACATAACATTCAGTTATGCACGTCTGAGCGATGATTGTCTGAGCTAGTGGTACTAAGGAATATATCTCGTCTGAATAACTGCTATAGTAATAATGAACTATATGTAGGAAAGTTCTGAAAAAATGCGATCAACTTTGGCGCCATTCTTAATATATAAAAAAAACGCCTATGCACGTTTTCTAAAAAAAATAAAATACTCGACCACATCTTTTAACCAATCAGTTGTACGAAAAATACGCGGTCGCTTCGTAAGAAATTTGTGGAGCTAACGCGCGTGTGTGTGGTCTCATCAGATCATTTAAAAAATGAGAATATTTTCAAACTGCTTCAGAACAATTTACTTGTCCAGTAAAATCAACACAACTGTGTCTCACCAGCAGCCCCCTCCATACAACTGTGTCTCACAGTAGCTTGTTTCTTTGACCGCTGAATGAACAGTATCAAATAACGATTCTCAAATTGGCGATAATGCTTTTAATGCCACGCGTCTGCTGATATTTCACTATAACTCGCAGAGACTTTAAAGAAAAATAAAACACTAACAATTAAATTTCCACAAGTTATTGTGTTTTAAAAAGAAAAGGAAATAAAAAAAATTCTTTTCTATTAACATTAGTCGTTGTCGTCGTCATTTAATGGATGTCCTCAAGGGCACATGGCACAATGGATAAAGGCGTTAGCTAGATCGAGTGACAGGACCTAAAGAGTGTGAGTTCAATACCCGATTAAGGCAGTGGAAAACTTTCAGAGGGAAATTAACAGGAGACAACAGATAACTGACATCCATTAAACATAACAGAACAGCCTACCCTAGTAAGCGAAATAAATGGTTCATTTCGACATTCCAACCACCTGAAGTAGGCCGGAGCGTACAACGGCCGAAACGTTGGAATAAATATGGCGACAAAGATGAGGACAATAGTCCGAATAATGTAGATAATGTAAAACTCCTATATAAGGTAATGAAGGAAAGGGAGAATAAAGGACTAATCCTCAATTGCAAGAGAACAAAATGCATGGCTGTTAGCATAAGGGAAATCCCATTGTTCAAATTACAAATTGGAGACACCAAAGTCAAACAAGAACAACAATTTAAATATGTAAGAAGTATTTTAAAAGGGGTGGAAAGTGCGACACTGAGATCTGAAGGCTTACTTGGATAGCGAAAGATGCCTTCCAAAAGCTAAGCAAAGTATTTAGAAATTGAAAATTTCGTTAGAAACAAAGAAAATGGTACTGAAATGTTATGTAATATCATTCCTCTTACATGGCAGTGAATCCTGGATAATTAAACTTCACAGAAAATGGAAACAAAAAGGACATTTATTTTTGTTTTGTTTTGTTTTATTTTACAGCATATCAACCACAACAGGTTATTTAACGCTGACAATTTTTATTGCTGGTAATATTTTTTCCTTCAAAAATCTATATTTGGTAATATTTTTTTTTTCTCCAAAAAAGGTATCGCTGGTAATATTTTCTAAAAGAATATCTATAGCTGGTAATATTTTTTTTTTCAAAAATGTATTGCAGGTAATAAAAAGTATTTCTGGTATTAAAACCTATTTTTACACTTTCATTGTGTTTTGACCCCAGTTTAGGGGTCTAAAAATTTAACCATACTTAGGACCCTAACACGTGCTAACACCCTGGGTTAGGGTGGACTTAGGAACATCAGCACTTAACAGGTGCTTCCACGCTTCTCACAACCTCCTGATAAGAAGCCTTGCTGCCGGACGTAATTTATCGTCTTACCCAGGATTAAAATTATTAAGAGACAATTGAAATTTCTCAGACACATAATGAGGAAAGATTGAACGCAAGATGATCAAAGGAAAACAACGCATAACTTACTTAGTGACAATGAGTAAATGAATGGCTGATTAAGGTTTATAAAAGATAACTAAAATACGAAATTTATTAAAAGCTGCAAAGGACAAGAAAAAGTGGAGAGCTATAATCACCGAAGTCTTGAAAAAATAGGGTGCGTAGATTAGCGATAGAATAGAGAAAGGCCGGCTACGTTTCGTCTGTGAGATAAGGGTACTACTATAAAGAATAGTACATCAGACACAAAGTCACCTAATTATTTGTTTTTTTTTTTTTTTTAACTCTGTCGAGGCTGGATTTTTTGTTCTGCGTTATTTACAGAGCATTTATATTGTATTGTATATCATATGTAATTTTATTTATATACTTTAATTTCATCGAGAAGACGATGTCCGTTGTTTAAACATAAATTTGATGCCATTTCAAATCCAGAACCAGAGATTCAGAAGATTTTGTTATCTTAGAAACCATAGGGGTCCCGAAACAAATAACAAGGAATAACTATATAATTATTTTACCCAGAAAAAAAAAACAATACACCTAATACAAGGCCCAAGATACAATCTAAGTCGTGGAACAAAAAGTGAAATTTTCAGAGCTGATGGAACTAAAGAATATAACTCTTTTGAGCATTGCTCTAGAGTAGTGGTAGTTTAGAAAAGTTTCGTTTGTGTAATAAAATGTCGCAGGGTAGAGAATTCATAATATAATAAAATGCCTGATAAGGCAACAATAATTCATTCTTGGTCTGATCTGATACTCTTATATAGATAGAGAGCATGGCAGCGGGAATTAGGTGTTTTTCGAGCGTTAAAATCAACTGACCATTCTTTCAACATCTTTTTTGCCATCAGTATTGCAAAGTTTGTAAGCCGAAAGCTAAAAGACCAAGAAGTTGGTAGAGAAATGATCACCCCGTCCTGAAGGGACACTGCATGAGACAACGAGAATTGCCAGTCTGTAATACTCATCAGTAAATTTAAGAAGGTTCAGTCATAAACTTGGTATCTATCTATCTATCTATCTATCTATCTATCTATCTATCTATCTATCTATCATTTTTCGTTCTCTGCACATCTATCAAGCTATCTCTTATTCTCCACATCTTTCTATCTATCTATTTCGTTCTCTCCGTATCTATCTATCTATCTATCTATCTATCTATCTATCTATCTATCTATCTATCTATCTATCTATCTATCTATCTATCTATCTATCTATCCTTACATTATTGAATGTGGACAAATTGCTGAAGTTGTGAAGAAAAAGTCTAAAATCACACTTGCATTTATGTTATACCAAACTGGCGAGTAATTCCCACTGATACCTGTGTAAATATTTCAAGGTTTATTTACAATATCAAAATCAGCATAGAAAATAAAAAAACCACACATCTAAATAAGAGAAAATATTAGAAAAAACATACACAGAACTTGGTCTAATATTGATTACGTATAATCAGGTTTTGCGTCGTTGAGTTACCTCGATGCCTCGTAAATTTATCTGATGGGCTGCTTAATATTCAAAATGTTGATTTAACAACCCAGATAAAGTCTGTAATGCATAGTTGCCTTATAGTAAACTATTTCAGATAATTCCGTATTTCGTATACCCGATGACGTTATTTCGAAAGCAACTTTACGAATGAACATCCTATACCTTGACTTTCCCGTTTCAATAACTAACACCTTGCTTCTTTTACACAATTACGATAACAAAACCTCCTGGTTAAATTTAATTTATGCGCAAACGTCTGACACTTTGTCAAATTGTCAGTTATGTCGTGGTTACCTACAGTGAAGAAAGAACAAACATGAAGTCTTATTTTGTTTATTGCATTTGCTTTCGAAACGGAGACATGGGTGAGCATAAAGCGAGAGATAGAAAAGCAGAAAGAAAGAAAGTAAGAAAGAAAGAAGACAGAAAGAAAGAAGACAGAAAGTAAAAGGAAATTTATGTTATTCGACTGAGTGAAATTAATAAAAATGTTTATAAATATGATCTGAAATTCATTAATAATACAGTTTAATTTGGATGTACACAGACCCCGACTTGTCTTTAGTGACCATGGATTTGATCCCACCCATCTTTAAGATACGATCAACCTGGTCAGTATGTTGCTCATGCCTACGTCGCTGATGGACCGAAGGAACAACAGGCCCGTTAAAGTTTGACACCATCACCGTCGCAGGAGCTGGAAGACGAACTTCCTTAGGGGCTCTGAACTTTTAGCGGTAGAGTATCGGCTACGCCAGGGTTACATACCGAATTCGGTGTTACTTTCTCCTAGACCGGTTGCATTCCAGGGCTTTAGAATCCAGTGTGTCCTGCTATTTACCAATAGCTGGGGAGGGGAGAGCACCATTTATATCTTACCCAAGGGTATTAGCACGGAAGTGAATCTCGTGGATCCAACTAGAATTCGAACTCAATCCGAGCCGATATCCATTATTCCACGGTGCCTCCCGATACAAATTTACACAACAGCTAAAACATGTTGGGGTAGCTGCGTATCTGCGTCTCGTGTCACGGTGGCATGTCACCAACTTACAGCTTCTGGTTGGAGTGGAAGCAGTGGCAAGCAAAATATATATATGTTCATATATAAATGACGGATAGTCATTTTTTGTAGAGGTGAAAGGAAATGGAGTAAATTTCAACAAGTCGACATTTTCAGGTGTCTTATATGTGGCTAATAAATGATTAACAGGATCACTACAATCTTAACATGTTCAATCTAGGATTAACCGTTATCTTCCGAACATATCCGCAAAAGCTCTAACTCTTACTCTGTAACCCTCTACTACGAGTGACACCCCCCCGGGCCTTATACACGGTGAACACCACTGTAAAAAAAAAGAAAGAAAGAAAATATACTTGTATGCCTGCAAAAATAGCTGAAAAGAAAGAAGACATGAAAATCTAGCTATTAGTGTGTCGGTATGTGTGTACAAGACACGTTTGCACGTGTATCTGTGTGTGTGTGTGTGTGTGTGTGTGTGTGTGTGTGTGTTTGTGAGGGTTCAGTCACGTATCGTGTTGCTGTTACTCCTAATAACCATGCTAAAGGGAAAAGAGAAAAAGAAAAGAAGAGACATGAATTGTACCGTTTTTATAGCGTGTTTAACAGCGCCACCTAACGGATTTCTGATAAATCTGTCAAAGCCAAGGGGGAGTAATCGCACAAAAATTGAATAAATAATTTTTGTTTTAGTAAGCAAAGAAAGGAGTACTGAGCTGTTACGTGACATCTGTCCTTCTTTATGGCAGCGAATATTCGGCGGTCTCCTCAAAGATGAAGAAGAGATGCGAGGCAACGGAGGTATGGTCCTACAGAAAGATTCTGAGGATATCATGGACGTAGCGTGTGAGCAACGATGAGGTTTTGGAGAGGATGCAAACAAAGAGGAAGCTTATACTTAATATCAGGAAGAGGCAACTGAAGTTTCTGGGACACGTAATGAGAAAAGAGGGCCTAGAGGAAAGCAATGCAGGGCTTAAGCAAGTAGATGACAGAACGTGATCTAGGGGAGGTGACGGAGGGACGAAACTTATCGAAAGCTAAAAGGAGTAAAGAGACACGATCGCCAACGTCATGAAGGGACACGTCATATAAAAAGAAAAGAAGCGTATTGAATAAAATAAAATAAAAATATATTATATAACATACACTGCATTTTATATATAAAATAACTATGCAAATGTAATCATATAGACGAAATATCTTAATTATAATAAAATTACAATATCTTATAATAATTCTTAGATTTTGTTTATAAAATGTGAATGCCAATGTAACAGAAATTTTAAGGCAAAGATTCTAAAAAGCACCACGCCCTAAAGCTAATTATATAATTGTCATGTAGGAATAGAGTGACGCAGCCGACACTTGAGTTTGAACATAGACCGCCAGTGAGCAAACACAGGGGATCTCATTATTGAATTAAGTAGATCTCGTGACCATAGAGGAAACGCATAATTAGGAAATCGCGTGACGTCTAATTGATCGTTATTCCTGGTTTATCCTCTGTTAATATACGGATCCCCATTTCTAGTGTATCCTCTATTATTATAACCGCTATTCTCTACTCTATTCACTATACAATTACTCTATTCGGATCACTACAAGGGTTACGATGCGAGCGAGTATTATCGAGCAAGTACTATAAGTGCGAATGTTATTCGAAGGCGTCTAACACCAGTATTGTTCAACGGTGTTACTATAGTTGTATCTGCGATTACAAAGTCTCTACTACAATAAGCATTACGAAACTGACAACGAGTATTCGTTGGTATCACAAAAGTGGCAACGAGTGTTCGTTGACATCACGAAAATAATATATATATATATATAGCATTTGAGTATAATATGTGTACCCAAATGTAACATATTTTATGGGAAAAGATAACACTTATAAAAATAATGAATTTACTGTGTTTATCGCAAAATAATTGTGACGTTTAGTTTTGAAAATGTGTATGCAATATGTGATTACTATTATGGGATAAATATAATATTTATAAAATGCACAGGCCTCACAAGAATTACTGATCATGTCCCATAGCATAAATAGCATTTTCCTTATAACCTACCTATAAAAATGCAACAATTATTATGTGACAAATGTAATAAATAAAAAAGAAAAACGAAAATAAAAACACAATACTTTAAGGAATCACTATGTCTCATAGAAAATACATAAAATATATGTACAAATGCAAAAAAGATTAATTGTACACAAATAATAACTCTAAAAACATAAGCTGTTAAAGATTTACTACATATATCATATAATTGTTCTTAGATTTTCTATGCCAAATGTTTATGTAAATATGACACCTGTTGTGAGAAGACATAGAGTAATGCATAGCTGCTCGGATTGAGGAATGGGAAAGCCGAATTCGAATTCAGGACGAATCCATTACATTCACTTACGGGCTATTACACTTTGGAAAGGTATGAATCCTCTTTTTTCTCCCCCCCCTCCAAGCTATGGGTAAATAGCAGGACAGACCGGATTCTATAGCGTTGGCTCGCAACTGGTCTAACGCAGAAAGAAATGGCAACCTACTGCGGGATAAATCTACCTCGTTAGTCATGTATCGAAGGACACATGTCTGACGAAGCATATTTTTATATCAAAACATATGATCGCCTAAGCGTGTATCCCCCATGGCACATAACTGACTGTGAGACACAAGTTGTTTTATTTTTGTTATAAGTTCGTAGCAAATGAGAAATTATTCAAAGAGATTTTTCAGGAAATTAAACTCATTTTTCTATTTTTCTTCTCACAACTTTTCGGCCGATCCATTCTACGGCTTTTTTTTCTGTGGTAATATTAAAAGAGAATGTTTCGTTCTTTATTAGTGCAAAGCCAGTAGCAAAAAGAAAATTTAAACTTCAATCAAAATGTCTCTAAAATAAATTATTATCTGTCTATATTTCTGAGATGAGGTATTATGTACACTATTTACATTATTCGGACTATAGTCCGAATAATGTAAATAGTGTATATAATACCTCATCTCAGCAATATAGACAGAATAATAAATATGGCGACAAAAACGAGGACAATAATTCGAATAATGTAAATAGTATAAATTATTATATTCCCAGCTTGTTCCATATTTTTAGCATTTTTTACTCATTTCACTCTAATTGTCAATAAAGCCACTATGACGCGAAGAGTTACTGAGTGCGAAATAATGCCAGAAAAAAAATGTCATTAACGGGAAGAACAATAAAAGAACAAGATATCGATTGACTTTTAATTTAAATTTTTGAAGCTCAAACTTGACTAGAAAACAAGATGTGAGATTCACAATTGTGATGTGCGACAGGGGAAAGTGTTAGCAGAGAAGTTATGGCTAAATCTACGCTTTCAACTGTAAAAGGATTAGACCTATCTGCCAATATTAAATTCACAAAGTCGTGTTACCAAAGCGGAAAGCTCATCAGAAAAAATTAGTATGAAAATATTTAGAGAACAGGCACAGAGAGTTCTGATAACATGGCATATTCTTCTTTGGATTTTATCAAGAATATCTAAGTACCCAGAAGAACCTGACCAAATGTGACAGCAATATTCAATGTATGCACGAATTGTAGACTTATAACATGGATCCATTTTTTCTTTGTTAAACAAAACAGTTCCTTGTTGTATTTCATTTTGGGCAAAGAAAGCAAAAGCACATTGAATTCCACACCGGTCTGTCTCGTGCATCCTGCAGACAAGTTGATATTTGCTGATTCATACT